CGGCACCTCCCTCTAAGGTCAGACTTAAAGGGTGTTTCCACTTGTGCAGCCAGATTGGGAGAACCTCTATTTTTTTATATTTGTTACATTGTTCCCTTTCACGTCACATGAGCACCGGGCAGAGAAGAACACGGATTGTACAATGTATCGATATCTGCTACTGGCAATCCTCTGCACAGCAGCACTGGCACTGGGAGGCTCTACTGCTTTGCACAGGGATGTCAGTCTAACAATGCAAACATGCCTACAGGAGGGGGAAGGACAAGGAATGACCTTCTGGGTGTGCCCCCTGCTCCTTCGTCGTCCAATCGCAGCCTGGAGCAGTCTGTATTGCTTAACTGTATTCCAGGACCCAGCTGCGCTGCCTGGAAGGGGTGCCTGGGTCACAAGGCGGAACTCTCAATCCTTGGGCAGGTGTATCACTGTGTTCCCGGGTTCTAGCTCCGCCCCCCTCTCTGATACCGTTGCAGCTCCGCCCCCCACACACACAGTCGCCTGCATTGTACAATGCGTTGTGTTGGCTCTCGGTGAATGTTGCGTTGTCTTTGCAGGATTTCCGGAAGTTACTGAAGAGAGAGGACCGCCCGCTGCTCATGATGTTCTACGCCCCGTGTAAGTGACCCCCCCCCCGACCCTTTGCACTGCGTTGTTGGCTTTGCTTTCCTGGTACTGAAATTTTCCGTTTAACCCTTTCTGTGCCTCCTCTTGCGTGGCTGGGGGACGCTTCCACGCACTCTGTACTGTACGCGGGGTTAATCCGGTTACCTTTTGGCGTATTTATCTGAGTACATGGAGCCGGCACCTTGTACATCATACGGCGCCCTGTCGGCGTCACGCCGCGGAATCCGACTATTGTGCTGTCTGAGGAGAAGGAAGGAAACGTCTAATGAGCTGCGATTGTCCCCGATCTCGCCTTCTGTCCCTTCACTTTCCTTCCTTCTTCTGGATCGCCGCGCTCACTATTCCCTGCTGAGCTCTCCGGGAACGCAGCGCTCCGCGGGGCACGTGGGGGGGGGTTGTGTCAGGCCTGGGCCCGCACGTGGGGGCGGTTGTGTGTCAGGCCTGGGCCCGCACGTGGGGGCGGTTGTGTGTCAGGCCTGGGCCCGCACGTGGGGGCGGTTGTGTGTCAGGCCTGGGCCCGCACGTGGGGGCGGTTGTGTGTCAGGCCTGGGCCCGCACGTGGGGGCGGTTGTGTGTCAGGCCTGGGCCCGCACGTGGGGGCGGTTGTGTGTCAGGCCTGGGCCCGCACGTGGGGGCGGTTGTGTGTCAGGCCTGGGCCCGCACGTGGGGGCGGTTGTGTGTCAGGCCTGGGCCCGCACGTGGGGGCGGTTGTGTGTCAGGCCTGGGCCCGCACGTGGGGGCGGTTGTGTGTCAGGCCTGGGCCCGCACGTGGGGGCGGTTGTGTGTCAGGCCTGGGCCCGCACGTGGGGGCGGTTGTGTGTCAGGCCTGGGCCCGCACGTGGGGGCGGTTGTGTGTCAGGCCTGGGCCCGCACGTGGGGGCGGTTGTGTGTCAGGCCTGGGCCCGCACGTGGGGGCGGTTGTGTGTCAGGCCTGGGCCCGCACGTGGGGGCGGTTGTGTGTCAGGCCTGGGCCCGCACGTGGGGGCGGTTGTGTGTCAGGCCTGGGCCCGCACGTGGGGGCGGTTGTGTGTCAGGCCTGGGCCCGCACGTGGGGGCGGTTGTGTGTCAGGCCTGGGCCCGCACGTGGGGGCGGTTGTGTGTCAGGCCTGGGCCCGCACGTGGGGGCGGTTGTGTGTCAGGCCTGGGCCCGCAGTGGACCCGCACGTGGGGGGGTTGTGTGTCAGGCGTGGACCCGCACGTGGGGGGGTTGTGTGTCAGGCGTGGACCCGCACGTGGGGGGGTTGTGTGTCAGGCGTGGGCCCGCACGTGGGGGGCCACTACTTCTAAGGACAGGAAGCTGTAATGTTACTCTTATGTCCTCAGGTTTGGATACATTTTATGGGTTTGTTGGTCTGTTACAATGTATCGGAATGATCCCTCCGGCGCAGTGGTTGCAGGGGATCACAGACACAATGTTTGGAATAAATTCTTAGCTTCTGATTGGACGAATTTTCCAACTAAACTCGGAATCAACTGATACAGGAAAATAACGCTGGCTGGAA